CCAAAACCCCCTTTACTTTAAAGTGTTTTATTAGTCAAAATTTGTTTTGATTTATGTTTTTAGGTGTCCCAAAAGTGTGTTAGAGACCAAATCTACCCAGTTTGTGTTTTTAGGCAGATTTGAGCATTTTTAGCTTGTTTTGAGTCCTTTGAGTTTGTTTTAAGTTCTTTGAGTCTAGTTTAGTGTTTTTAACTTTGTTTATATGTTTTCAAGTTAGTTTAGAGGTTTTAGCAAGCCCTCATAATCCCCAGTTTAGAACGATCCCTACTTGCATTTATACTACAATTTGACAACAAGAGGGTTTAATTTGTGTGTTAAAAAAAATTTCGCATCAATGCATTTATATACATTTTGAACTCAACGATCCGAACTTTTTATTTTTCAAGATGCACTTCATAGATTATCTTTACAAAATATTAGGCACATGTTTGAGGTGTTAATTGAGTTCAAAGAAATTGAGGGACAATATATATGTATATATTGTTGGAATTTAAGATTTTTATTTGAGTTGTTGTTTTGGGTATTTTCTTTGTTAGGGTATTTTCGTTATTTTGTTTATTAGGGTTTGCTTGAGGTTTTACTATTTAAACAGTGCTTTGTATTAGGATTTACTATTTGAAATTCGATCTTTTGTAATTGAATTGAAATTCAGAATTTTCGTCTCAAATTTATGATTCTTTTGTTGAATAAGTTTTGAATTCCTGTCAAATTTCGGATTTTCATCCGAGCTTAATGCTTAGTGATAGTGTTTGTCGTAATTAGCTAGAAAGGATATGATTATTAGTAGTGTTATAAAAATGTAAAAGTTATAGAGAGATAACCTTTATTAGGGACAAGAACGAAGCAGTTGCAGAGTATTATACCAACACAAGTTGTTGCAGAGGAAGTAATGTATATTATTGCTATTAGATATTTTTCTCTTCCTTTTTCTCTCTGCTTTGTTGAACATTCGTAAAGCTGTATTTATAGAGCATCACCATGGAAACAAACAAAAACACTGTTAAACATATGACATGTTTACTGTATGCATGTGGGCATACATGTTATATTATTTACAACACTCCCCCTTGGATGCCCACATATCAACATCAGTTGCCTCATTAAAACTTTGCTTGGAAAAACCCTGTGGGAAAAAAAACATAGCGAAGGAAAAAGAGTACAACTTTATCCGGATGGTGTTGAGCATGCTTATGTTGCCTCGTTAAAACCTTGATAGGAAAAACCCAGTGGGAAAAATCCTAAGCGAAGGAAAAAGAGTACAACATACATGTATCATGGATGCTCCCCCTGAATTGGATCTCCCCCTGATTCTGCATTCTTCAAATTTGTAAGCCGACGTAATCCGATTCCCTGCACCAGCTTTTGAAATATGCACTTTGGTAGAGATTTGGTGAACAAGTCTGCTAAATTTTCATTAGAACGGATTTGTCTGACTTCAATAACTTTAGCCTTCTGAAGCTCATGTGCGCTGAAAAATCTTAGAGATATTTGTTTAGTCTTATCACCTTTGATAAATCCTTCCTTCATCTGGGCGACACAGGCTGCATTATCTTCATGGATGACAGTTGAAGTGTCTGTCTTTGAAGGTAGACCACATGAATTTCGGATGTGATGGATCATTAATCTTAACCAAGAACATTCACGACTTGCTTCATGTAGAGCAATTATTTCCGAATGATTGGAAGATGTTGCAACTAGCGTTTGCTTTGTTGATCGCCATGAAATTGCAGTATCTCCATTAGTGAACACATATCCATTTTGTGAGCGGGCTTTATGCGGATCGGAGAGAAAACCAGCATCTGCGTATCCAACAAGGATTTGTTCATTTATGGGCTTGTCTGAGTAGAAGAGACCCATATCTGTTGTCCCACGAAGGTATCGTAGAACATCTTTGACTCCCTTCCAATGACGAATTGTTGGAGCAGAGCTGTACCTGGCTAACAAGTTAACTGAAAAAGCTATATCTGGTCTAGTACATTGTGCTAAATACAATAAAGCACCTATTACGCTCAAATATGGTACTTCTGGACCAAGGACCAGTTCATCATCTTCCTTTGGACGGAATGGATCTTTCTTAATGTCTAAAGAACGAACGACCATTGGGGTGCTAAGTGGATAAGCCTTGTCCATGCCCAATCGCTTCAGTATTTTTTCAATGTAAGCTGATTGATGGACCAAAATTCCACTAACACAATGCTCGATCTGCAGGCCTAGACAATATTTGGTTTTCCCAAGGTCTTTCATTTCAAATTCGCTTTTCAGATATTCAGCAGTTTTATGGAGCTCTTCAGGAGTCCTAACTAAGTTCATATCATCAACATATACTGCCACTATAGCAAATCCAGAGTTGGATTTCTTAATGAACACACAAGGGCAGATGACATTGTTGATATATCCTTCTTTAATTAAATACTCACTGAGACGATTATACCACATTCGCCCAGATTGTTTCAGCCCATATAGTGATCGCCTTAATTTGATTGAGAACATACCCCGTGGTTTGTTTTTTGCTTCAGGCAACTTAAGTCCTTCTGGGACTTTCATATATATGTCAGTATCTAATTCTCCATATAGATACGCGGTGATGACATCCATAAGTCGCATGTCAAGTTTTTCTGAAATCACCAAACTTATTAAGTAACGGAACGTAATTGTGTCCATTACAGGAGAGTATGTCTCCTCATAATCAATTCCAGGTCTTTGTGAAAAGCCTTGTGCAACGAGTCGTGCTTTGTATCTAGCAATCTCGTTTTTCTCATTGCGCTTCCTTGTAAATACCCATTTGTAACCTACGGGGTTTACATCAGTTGGGGTTTGGACTACTGGTCCAAAAACACTTCGCCTTTCCAAGGAATTTAATTCTGCCTAGATTGCATCTTTCCACTTAGGCCAATCTTGTCTCAGTTTGCATTCATCAACAGAGCGGGGCTCAATATCATCACTTAATATGATTTCAGTGGCTACTGCGAATGCAAACATATCGTCAATGATTATTTCATTCCGATCCCACAATTCATTAGTACATGCATAATTTATGGAGATTTCTTTGCTTTCATGTACTTCTGTCTCTTCAGGGCCATTTTCTTCTTCTGGAAGTCCAGAGTCATGAATTGTGGATTTGTCATTTACTCTCTCTTCCTGAATGATTTCATTTGGATTCAGTTGTGCCATCGTCTTTCTCTTTCGAGGGGCTGAATCTTTTGAACCTGGTGGTCTACCACGCTTCAGGCGTGCACCAGATGAATCATTCGCTGCCACTTTATTTTGTCCAACAGGGACATCAATTCTGGCAGGTGCATTTGCAGCTGGTATATGCGATTTTGTCACTTTTATAGCGTCATTAAATGCATCTGGCATTTGATTGGCAATGCTTTGAAGATGAACGATCCTTTTCACTTCATTTTCACATTGAATGGTTCGAGGATCAAAATGAGACAAGGTGGGAACAACCCATGTCAGCTCTTTCCGTTCTTCTGAAACGGTCTTTTCTCCCCCTAACGATGGGAAAATTGTCTCATCAAAATGACAATCAGCAAAACAAGCTGTAAACATATCACCTGTCAAGGGTTCCAAATATCTAATAATAGATGGTGAATCAAAACCCACATAAATTCCCAGTCTACGCTGAGGTCCCATTTTAGTGCGTTGCGAGGGTGCAATAGGCACATAAACAGCACAACCAAAACTCGTAAATGTGAAATGTTTGGTTGATGTCCAAACACGAGTTGTATTGAGGAGTATTGGTGGTTGGCTATAGGTCTCAATCGAACCAATGATGCAGCATGTAGAATGGCATGTCCCCATGCAGAAACTGGCAATTTGGTTTTCATAATCAGAGTGCGGGCTATTAACTGAAGCCGCTTGATCAATGCTTCTGCTAAACCATTTTGAGTATGGACATGAGGAACAGGGTGTTCAACATCAATGCCCAATGTCATGCAGTAATCATCAAAGGTTTGAGACGTAAATTCACCAGCGTTATCAAGTCGGATTGATTTAATGGGATAATCTGGGAATTGTGCTCGTAACTTAGTTTATATTTGAGCAAAGAAGTCTCGCAAAAGCTACATTCCGAGTAGACAAGAGACAAACATGTGACCATCTGGTGGATGCATCAACCAAAACCATAAAATATCGAAATGGTCCACAAGATGGTTGAATAGGTCCACAGATATCCCCTTGAATTCTTTGTAGAAATGATGGGGATTCAGCACCAACCTTTAGTTGTGATGGTCTAATTACCAACTTCCCTTGAGAACAAGCCTTGCAAGGGTTATCATTTGAGATAGCAATGTCTCTGCTCAATAATGGATGTCCATTAGAGTTGGTAATGATCCTACGCATCATGGTGGATCCTGGATGACCCAAACGGTCATGCCAAAGCATGTAAACCTTTGAATCAATGAACTTCTGGTTCATGATAGTATGTGATTCAACTGTCCTTATATGTATAATATAATCCACTCGAAAAACCACGCAACTTCTCCAATATACGCTTCTGGGTATCATTGGAGGTAATGCATAGATACTCCACATTTTTTGCACTTTTCGTTTCAATGTGGTATCCATTTAGACGTATGTCTTTGAAACTCAACAAATTTCGAGTAGATCGAGTAGCATACAATGCATTTTGTATGGACAATATTGTTCCATTTGGTAACATAATCTGGGCTTTCCCTGAGCCTTCAATCACATCTGAAGGTCCTGATATTGTATTGTTGTTACCCCTACTTTTGTAAGCATTAAGCTTGAGAAAATACTTTCAATCACGAACGAAGTATTGTATGTGTGGTTGCACTGTCTGCAAGACAAATATCTCTGCCATTTCTCATGTTCTGAGAATAACCACAGTTTTTATCCATGCTTTCTGAGTAAATGGAATCACAGTTAACAAACAAACAATTTATAACAGGAAATTTACATGCCATTTTTATTGAATCTGAAAAACTAATTTTAGACAACAAGTTCAGCATAATAAAAGTACATCAAACATAAACGATTTAGTCGGACCGATATACTTCATTCCCCCTTTCCATAATGAAGTCTGAAACATCTAGGTGAGTTGCGTCAAATTGCCCTGATAAATCAAACACTGGATCAGGTATATCCATTGGTTTAGCCTGGTCGAGAAAATTGGTCTCGACACCCTTCTCCTTGAGGGAGGCTTGATACAACTCCACCAGATGTTTTGGGGTACGACAAGTTCGCACCCAATGCCCATTGCCACCACACCTATGGCAGGCTCCTTCAGAGTTCCTGGGAGCATTGGTCATGTTAGCTTTGCCTTTGTGACGATTCACATGTTTGAAGCTCGGGCCAGAATATGCCTATGAACCTGGTTGTGAAACTGACCACCATGGTTCTTGCCTTTCCTATTCCATCGATCTCATTTGTGGCCACGTCCTTGTTTATGATAATTACCACCAGAGGATGTGGCGTTCACTTCGAGGGAAGCAGCATTTACTTCTGGGAATGGTGCAGATCTAATAGGTCAGGAATTATGGTTTTTCATCAGGAGCTCATTGTTCTGTTCAGCTACCAGGAGCACAGATATCAGCTGGTTGTATTCAGTGTAGCCTCGCGCTCTATACTTCTGCTGTAGGAGCACGTTATTGGCATGAAATGTGATGTAAGTCTTTTCCAGCAACATTTCATCAGTAATGGTATCCCCACAGAGCTTCATCTGAGAGGTAATCCTGAACAACGCAGAATTGTACTCCGCCACTGATTTGAAATCCTGAATTCTCAGGTGAGACCACTCATAGCGAGCTTTTGGAAGAATCACCGTTGTCTGGTGATTGTATCTGCTTCGCAAGGCCTCCCAGAGAGCTAACGGATCTTCACCGTTAAGTATTCACTCTTTAGTGCCTCATCAAGATGGCGGCGAATAAAGATCATAGCCTTCGCCTGATTTTGAGAAGATGAGCTGCTTTCTTCCCTGATGGTATCTCCAAGATTCCCTACTTCCAGATGGATCTTGGTATCAAGTACCCAAGTAAGGTAATTCTTCCCGGTAATGTCCAGGGCAGCATATTCAAGCTTAGCCAAGTTCGTCATTTTCTTTTCTGAAAGAAAATGAGATGTGTAAGAACTTGCAGTAATATGTATTCCTAGAGGAATGTGATGTTAGAACTTCTGGTTCTTACAAATTTTTCATTTTGATCTTCAGGCCAAAATGATAAGCACTCGAAACTTCTGGCTCGAGATTTTCAGGGTGAATGAGAAGGGCGATTGTACCGCACCATTCTCATTGAAAGAATGTAATATGGAATGGGCGATTAGTCCGCACCACTCAAGTAGCAAGAAAATTGAAATACGCAAAGCAGGGTGGGCGATTATACCGCACCACCTAAAATTACAATGAAATTAAACAACAGGTAAATTTAAATTTGGAGAGCAAGGAGGGCGATTATACCGCACCACCTAAAATTGCAATGAAATTAAACAACAGGTAAATTTAAATTTGGAGAGCAAGGAGGGCGATTATACCGCATCACCTAAAATTTGCAGTAAAAGTAGATCTGCAGTCCAAGATAGGCGATGATACCACACCATCTTGGATCGCAGTAAGATGAAATTTGCAGTTCAAGATGGGCGATTGTACCGCACCATCTTGGATTGCAATAAAATCAATATAAATACTATGTTAGTAATCAATATCCAAACCAAACAAGTAATCAAAGATGTATGTAACCGCTAGTTGGAGAACTACGAGCAGGCATGGAGCAAATAGTTCGTCGCGAGGATATACCGCGCAGTTGAGGCAGATGAAGAAGATGAACAGGAAAAACCTTAGAGGAAACATTTTTTTTTTTTCGTTCGGCGGAGAGAAATGAGAGAATGATTTCCTTTATTGTTTAGTGAATGTAAATGAGACATGGTTATACTTAGAGACTCGTGCTGATAACGTGTTATAAAAATGTAAAAGTTATAGATAGATAACCTTTATTAGGGACAGGAACGAAACAGTTGCAGAGTATTATACCAACACAAGCTGTTGCAGAGGAAGTAATGTATATTATTGCTATTAGATATTTTTCTCTTCCTTTTTCTCTCTGCTTTGTTGAACATTCGTAAAGCTCTATTTATAGAGCATCACCATGGAAACAAACAAAAACACTGTTAAACATATGACATGTTTACTGTATGCATGTGGGCATACATATTATACTATTTACAACAAGTAGCAATTTATATATATTTTTTTTTTTCCAAAGCTTGATGAAATTTTTTTGTTTAATAAAAATAAAAAAAGTACGGACGTGGCATAGTGTGTAGCGTTGATTTAGCGGAGGGTCCAGATTAAAAGCATTGTACAATCCGGTACTAGGCTAGTAAGGTAGAGGATCCAGGCAGACACTACACCGTTCCGATCAGCAGCACTAGTCCCTCTGCAACCCCAAAACTCCAGCCAACTTCCTGCTTCTTCTTCCAGTGGGCCGTTAGGGGGCTGTTTGGATGCCTGAATAAGGATTTCGGACTAAGTTATCCCGGAATTGGATTCGAAGATGGATTCAGGGAGGCAGGTGTTCACGGTGGATCTTCTGGAACGATATGCTGCCAAGGGGCGCGGAAATATTACCTATATGGCTACTGGAAACGACGTCATTTTGCTCGGAACCAGTAAAGGTTGGATCATTCGACACGATTTCGGCGTCGGCGATTCGTTTGGTACGTTACTCTTATCCAACCCTTTCGTTTGGCACTTTCAATTCTCTGCCAATTCATAAATTTTTCATTTGATGATAATTTAGAATTCAATCTTTTGTAATTCACGTGAAATTCTAGACCTTCATCTCAAATTAGTGACTTTTATTTTTATTTGCAGAGAAAGTCTTGAATTCCTGTCAAATTTTGGATTTTGATCCGAGCTTATATGCTTAGTGATAGTGTTTAGCCTAATTAGCTAGATAGGATATGATTAGTGGCAATTTACTTGATTGATGCTGATTCGAACAGTGTTTTGCTTTAGTTGCTAAGGAGCCCGTTGTTGAATTCGGTTGACTAGATTGGTTTTGCTTTCTATTTTGTGTATGGTATGATGATGGTTGTTGTTTATTTGAGCTATAGATATTGATCTTTCGGTGGGTCGTCCTGGGGAGCAATCCATCCATAGAGTTTTTGTTGATCCTGGAGGGAGCCACTGCATTGCCACCGTTGTTGGGAGTGGGGGTGCTGATACGTTCTATACTCATGCAAAATGGACCAAGCCCCGTCTTTTAACCAAGCTAAAAGGTCTTGTCGTGAATGCCGTTGCCTGGAACAGACAACAGATTACAGAAGGTAATTTGTCAGTCCACTGACTATTTTCCCCGTTGCATTTGGATGGAGGGTTTGTGCATATTGACTCATTTGAGCTATTGTGTGTGATTTTGTTCGTAAAAATCTCAGCTTCAACAAAGGAAGTCATTCTCGGTACCGACAACGGCCAACTTTATGAAATGGCAGTCGACGAGAAGGATAAGAAGGAGAAATACCTAAAGTTTTTGTTCGAATTATTGGAACTTCCAGAGGCTTTCATGAGTTTGCAGGTAATCTTTGATCACCTTCTCTAATAGAGAATTGATTCTGACAGTTATACCAACTTGCAACTCTACATATTATGCTCTTGATCTCATTCTTTGTGAGCAGATGGAAATGGCAACCATTCTCAGTGGGACTAGATACTATGTAATGGCTGTAACTCCTACAAGACTCTATTCTTTTACTGGTATTGGATCACTAGAAGTAAGTTTTCTTCCATGCCTAGTGAAATTGTCATTTCCAGTGACAACATATTTGTTGCCGTTACAATTCCATAACCTGTATATTCTGCGTTTCTAGACTGTTTTTGCTGGTTACTCGGAACAAACAGTGCATTTCATGGAACTTCCTGGTGAAATTCCTAACAGGCAAGTGCTTATGTTGACACTACTAAAATTATTTTCAAAATGGGATAAAAATATTTCCTTTTTTTTCCCTTTTTTTTTTTTAAATCATTGTTCCTTTTATTAAATAAACGGTTACCTTTGATTTGCAAAATTGTTGATGTACTGTTTCCTGTCTTTCTCTTTGAGCTTTCTGGTTTCACTTTGTCATCTTTCAGTGAATTGCATTTCTATATCAAGCAAAGAAGAGCAATACATTTTGCATGGCTTTCTGGTGCTGGTATATATCATGGTGGTTTAAATTTTGGAGCACAACATAGGTACAAGATAACTTTCTTCTGTTCTTCCTTCTTTTCTGATGGCATTGTCTGTCTAAAGTCTGATCATTCTGTCTTCTACTGAGTAGTTTTATGGTTGACATTGTGAAACTTGTTAATAGCATTCCTTGATATATTTAATTTTAATGAATGTTAACATGTAACCTTCTCCTAATTTATCTCTTTTGCAGTTCTCCTGATGGAGATGAAAATTTTGTGGAGAACAAGGCTCTTTTGAACTATTCAACTTTGAGTGAGGGTTCTGAAGCGGTGAAACCCAGTTCTATGGCTGTTTCAGAATTTCATTTCTTGCTTCTTATCGGGAATAGGGTTAAGGTATTCACATATTAATTATCTGAATAATTTTTTTCTTCTCAGTGCTGTTATCTTCTAATGAGGAAAGGGGATCGTATAACTTGTAAGGATTGCAAAGTTATACCAGGAGAGAGCGTGGCTAATCAACATCGCTTGTTGGTGATGGATGTACATATCAAAAGAGTGAGAAAAAAGAACAAGACTTGGAAGTGCCCAAGGACTAAATGGTGGAATCTAAAAGAAGAAAAACAAGCCATTTTCAAAGAGAAAGTAATCACCCAGTGTGTGTGGGATAGAGAGGGGGAAGCTAACCAAATGTGGGATTCCATGGCTAGTTGTATCCGAAAAGTAGCAAAAGAGGTATTAGGAGAGTCCAAGGGCTTTGCCCGACACCAAAAGGAATCTTGGTGGTGGAATAAGGAGGTACAAACAAAGGTGAAGGCTAAGAAGGAATGTTGTAAAGCCTTATACAAGGATAGGACCGATGAAAATGGTGAAAGGTATAGAAAAGCGAAGCAAGAGGCGAAGAAAGCTGTGAGAGAAGCTAAGTTAGCGGCTTAGCGGCTTATGACGATATGTATAAGCGACTAGATACCAAAGAAGGAGAGTTGGATATCTATAAACTAGCTAGAGCAAGGGAAAAGAAGACAAGGGACCTAAACCAAGTGAGGTGCATCAAGGATGAGGATGGAAAGGTTCTTGCTACAGAGAACGCGGTTAAAGACAGATGGAAAGGTTATTTTCATAATCTTTTCAATGAAGGACATGAAAGGAGTGCTTCTTTAGGGGAGTTGAGTAACTCAGAAGAGTGTAGAAACTACTCTTTTTATCGTAGAATCCGGAAGGAAGAAGTGGTTGTAGCTTTGAAGAAGATGAAGCATAGAAAAGCAGTAGGCCCAGACGATATACCAATCGAAGTGTGGAAGTTTTGGGCGAGACAGGTATAACATGGCTCACTGACCTTTTCAATAGGATTTTGAAAACGAAGAAGATGCCAAATGAGTGGCGAACGAGCACTTTGGTGCCTATCTACAAGAATAAGGGCGATGTACAAAATTGCATGAACTATAGGGGTATTAAGCTAATGAGTCATACAATGAAGCTCTGGGAGAGAGTCATTGAGCATAGATTGAGGCAAGAGACACGGGTTTCGGACAACCAATTCGGGTTCATGCCAAAGCGCTCAACCATGGAGGCAATCTATCTCTTACGAAGATTGATGGAAAGATATAGAGATGGGAAAAAAGATTTACACATGGTCTTTATAGATTTGGAAAAAGCGTATGATAGGGTTCTAAGAGACATTCTTTGGAGGATTTTAGAGAAGAAAGGAGTACGAGTAGCATATATCCAAGCTATACAGGATATGTATGAAGGAGCAAAGACTGCCGTAAGAACTCATGAAGGACAAACCGAAAGCTTTCCCATAACTGTAGGATTACATCAAGGCTCATCCTTAAGTCCTTACCTTTTTGCGTTGGTAATGGATGAGTTAACAGGACATATTCAAGATGATATTCCTTGGTGTATGCTTTTTGCAGACGATATAGTGTTGATA